GTTCAGGACTAGTTCAGCAACTGCGACCCATGTTCAGGAAGTGCCCTGTGAGGCTTCCCATCTTCAGTCCCATTGACCCTGGAAGGAACTTGTTTGAGGGGAGGGCTGGGCAGCACCCAACCAGAGAGCTCAGGGTGGGCCTTGCACAAGGGCGGAAGAGGTTGTGGCTTCCTTCTGGACTTTTCCATGCTGAGGCCAGCTTGGGCAGATCAATCATCCAGTCTTGCTTCTGCAGCGCTGGGCCAGCTTTTCTTTCTGTGATTTATGGTTTGTCGTTGGAGAGGAGAGAAATCCAGCTAAACCTGCTGCTCCAAAATTGATCTTGGTGGCTGTCCGCCTACAGCAGGTGGAAATGGGGACGCTTGGTTCACACACAGCAGAGCGGAGGCCCCTGGTCCCTACACATACCCACCTCAAGGTGTGGGCCCGACAAACCACTATCTCCTCCTGCTGCTGATGGTGAGACAAGGCTGGCCCAGCCCCAGAGACAGGCAAGGTGGGCTCTGCCTTGGGTCACCCATAAAGCCCAGCAATGCTACCCCAGCCAGCAGCACCCACTGGAGTACAGGCACCCCTTGAACCTCCCCCCCTCCATCCTAAGGTTTGTTTTCCCACACCACACAGATATCTGGTGTGTTCTGTGGAGCACAGTTCCACTCTGAGATACATGAGGACCCGAGTGGGCGCTGACTCACACTAGGTCTTGGTACCATTGAGCGCTGCCAGCGAGGTTTCCCACCCCGCCCCTGGCCCTGTGCACCCTTAAAGGCTGGCCTTCCTCGATGTCTTCCTGGCCTCAGCTTGTGTAGCACTCAGACTGAACACGGTGATTACAGTGCAGGAACTCAGGCTGTGGGGTTTCCTGCCAACAACGTCTTCCATGGGGCCATTTTGAAAAACATAGACGCATTGTTCTTACCAAGAAGGAGAAAAAGTAGAGTGGAAAATAACTTTGGCTAAAAATAAACACACCAAAAATCCTTAATGTGGAGATCGGGGCGTGGGAGGGGGTGTCTTTTTTGAGTCATTTCATTTCAAACTCAGTGTCCCCCCATCCTAGTACACACATTTTCTCTTCAGGTGATACATTCATTCGCACAGTTCAAAAATCACAGCTGTGAACTGCACGTGTTTTTGCTCCCTCTGCCCTCTGCCCTCTTCCCCCGCCCCTTACGTGGGCCATTTGTTTCTCAAAATCCTTCCTTGAGTTTCTTTATGCAAATTCAGGCAAATTGAGATTTCCATTCATAGTTTTCTCTCCTTTCTTCTACAGAGGATGGCATGCTATAAACCCCACCCTGCACCTAGCTGTTTGAAATCCTAAACCCATCAGGCATTTCCACATGTGAATAGATCTGCCACCCCCCCTTTCCCACCATGTCCTGCATTGAAAGGCCACTGGCATGTCTTTTTCTGGGTTCCATTCATTTGCTTTTTTAAAAAAAAATTTTGTTTGTGGGCTGTTGTCTTCTTGGTTGTCTATTGGGAAGATTAACTTTTACCTGTGAGGTGAGCAGTAAGTGTTGGTATTTGCCCTTTGGGCTTTGTTCCAGGCATTTTTAACCACTTTTAAGGTGTAGCCTACACCCCACAATTCACTCACTTTAGTTAAGCATCGCATTCCGTGGTTTCTAGTCTAGTCACAAAGTTGTAACCCCATCACCATGATCAGTGTTAGAACATTTTCATCCCCATAGGGCTGGGGTGGGGCACTCAGAGTTACTCCTTGTTGTGTGCCAGTGAATCTGGTCCAACTCAGAGCAACCCTGACTAGGACTTTCAGGAACCTAAAGGCTCATCTTTCTCTGGAGGAGCGGCTGGTGGTTTTGAACTGCTGATCTTATGGTTACTCCTTATCCCCTCTAAACTACCATTTCTCCAGCCCCTAAACTACTCTCTGGTTCTATTGATTTTGCTCTTCTGCTTACTTTATACACGGAGTTTATACAACGTGAGGGCTCTCGCATCTGGCTTTGTTCACTTCGTTTGTCTTTACGGCTCACTGTCCTTAGGTACTGTTGCGTCGATGCCATGCACAAGGGGACGAAATGCTGCCCTTCACCATCCCCGTGAGCAGTTGCAGACATTGGACCGTTTTGATCTGTAGGCTTTCTGTTGGCTAGTTTTCAGAAGTTGTTTGCCAGGCCTTTCTTGCTAGGCCCTCTGGTCAGATAAAAGCTCTGCTGAAATCTCTTCAGCATCCATGACAGACAGTCTGAGGAACTGCCAGCCTTCCCACTCGTGGCTGTGCCAGTTCATATTCCCACTCAAGCACTGGACATTTTTTGGCATGCGTTTTATGTTTTAGCACATTTATCCATTTCTTGGGCCCTATGGCTTCTGGAGTTATAGAAAGGCCATTTGTCGGGCCCCTACATTATAAAGGAATTCTCTTACATTTTCTTCTGGTACTTGTATGGTTTTACTTTGAACTCTTTGGTCTGTGGTGTGAATATGGAACTGGTCATACCTTTTTCTCAAATAGTTCCCCCATTGCCCAGTACCATCTGTTGGAAACTCCATCACTCTGTCTCTACTCGGAGGTCCTGCCTGTATCCTGCCCCAAACCGTGTCTGTTCCAGAGCGTTCTCCTGTGCTTCATTAGTCTCTGTGTGTACATAGAATGAGGTTTGATGATGTTTTAATGTCTAGTGGGGCTACTCCCTCCTCCTCCTTCTTTATAGACTAATCTCATTTGTTTATTTTTCCATAGAAACTTGAGAATCTGCTTTCTAAAGACAGAGGTAGCAGGAGGAGGTTGCTGTTGGTATTTTAAATTGGGATCATATTAAACTTATAAACTACCTTAGGGAAATGTGCAGCATTTAGATGGTGAATCTTCCTATCGAAGATGTGGGACCTCTCTCCTTGTTCAAGCCGGACTTTGTGTTATGAGGTGTGTTCAGCTTTATAAGCTCATTCCCAGATGCTTTGCCTTCTGAATTGCTGGCATATCTTGTTCCTGAAAGCAGATTCAGCCTTAGTGTAGATTCTATAGCCAAAGCTGAGGCCCAGGCCTCTTTCCATGCATTGCTGAGTCCAGAGAGAACCCAGGCCCTGTGGGGTGGGCGGCACCATCCTCTTAACACACAGTCCTCCAGATAGTCCTCCTGAGACTCATTTTACAGATGAGAAAACTGAGGCTCAGAAGTTCAGCGATTTGCTGAGGTCACAAACTTTCCTCTTTCTCTGTCCTGAGAGGGGTAGGCCCAGGAAACCATGGTCTCCGTGCCAGCTTCCGGCACAGGTGAGACGTTCTTAGAAGCCATCCTCATGGCTTGGTGCTGTTTCGGGAAGGTGTGTGTTTGGGGAGCCCCAGGCCAGGCTGGGCACAGGTACTATTGGTCAGCTTGTTGGGGGGCTTGGTTTTCTCTGTGGCTGAAGTTCTGAATCAGTAGTTTCCTGGCAGCATTGGTATGCAGGCATGGAGCAGGTGGCTCTGAGGGGCACTGGGTCATTGTCCTCGTTGTCCCTCTCCCCAGTGTCCCCTGCCCTGGCCTTGGGGACCTTCCATTGCTGCTGCCTGGGGGTTTGTGGAAGTTGCTGGTCCTCCTAGCCCTATATCCCACCTTGGAGGCTTCTGGGGGTCATTTCGCATGAGTCACCGGCTCTGTTCTTCTGCAAGCTGACCCTACCTCAGGACTCCTTCCACAGTGATCCTGTGGGGCCCTTCTCCCATCAGCTCTGTGCCACTGATACCCCAAGACTGCATCCAGAGATTCCAAGTAAAGCCAGCTTAGCACAACAGTACCCTCATGGAGTTTTCCAGAACAGAGAGTCCCCTTCCTCCAGATGAATCTGCTCCTATGTCATTGTGGCTGTCCTCATTTCAGAGGGACAGGCAGGTATGGACCATGGATGAACTATGGTCCTGGGGGAGCATAATGACCCGGGCATTGGGCCCTGGCCCTGCCCCCCAGGCACATCCCATTCATGCTGTGACATAGGACCACCCAGCAGAGGTTCTGCCAGGAATCTCCTGGGGCTCTGTCTCTGAGAGAGAATGCCGCTTCTGTGCCGTGTAACTAACCCCACTGTGCACTGGCTATCCTGCTGACACGTCCATGCTGAGTCCCCAAGGCTGCCTGTACTGGGGCCCCTGGTGATATGCAGGGACCCACTGCTTCTTAGAGATGAGGGAGGTGGGCCTGGACAGGCAGGCTCCCCAGGGGTTCCAGTGTGCCCCCTGCCCCAGTGTTCTCTGCGTAGGGGTATGTTGTTGTTTTGGGGTGCCATCAAGTCAATTCCAACTCAACGGACAGAGTAGAACTGCCCCATGGGGGTTCCTAGACTGGAGTCTATGGGAGCAGATTCTCAGCAGTCCCGCCCTCAGCTCGTGTGCCGCTTGTCTCCACTAAGCCTGTTCAGACTCAGGACGGAGAAGACTGGCATTGCTGCAGAACCCTGTCATATCTTCCTCCCACTGAGTGGCTGGTGGGTTCAAACTTCAGACCTTTCAGCTAGCAGTGGAGCGCTTGACCCCTGCGTCACCAGGGCTCCTTCTTCGCTGTCTGGGGTTCCCTCCCTAGGTCACATGCTTTCGCCAGGATCCTGGGCCCATTTCTTCTCCAGTTGACAGCGTGACCAGGAATATGTTGCCACATTTTTTGTGAGCATCCTTTGTTTTCTTATGATCAAAAAATTCCAGACGCGAGATCTCTGGTTCAAGGAAGCAGACCCATCTCTACAACCTACGTTTAGAAAGGTGAACCCCAAGGTTTCTGAGTGAGCTTGTTCTCATGGTTACCCCCTCCTTGAAGCCAACCCTAACTCGAGCCAGAATGGGGCTTGGTTGGTTTTTTCGCTCTTTGCCAAATTAATGGGTGAATCTTCATGAGCGCAGGGATTTGTGTGTTCCCTGGCCGGCAGTATTTCTTCACGAGGGAGTGGCTGGCCGTCCGTGGAGCCCAGGTGGAGGTGAAGGCCAGCCTGTGGGGGTGTGGCTCTGGGGCTTGGGGAGACGTGGCCCCCAGTAGCTTGTGTATCTGCTTCTCCCACAGAACTGCCAGACTTTCAGCAGCCTGAGCTGCCTGAGTGCCAGCCGTGAGGACTGTGGGCCCCTGAGCCCCTTCACCCTCCGCTCCTGGACCGCCTTGCTCTCGGCCTCCTCCGGCAGCACAGGGGGCAGGACCCCGGCTGGAACCCCTGTCCTTGAGCCACAGCCCCATGCCTTTGACGACCATCTTGCCAGCAAAGAGGAGCTGTCCTATGAGGAAGCGGATTACAACAGCGTCCTGGACCAGGACCTCGGCCCAAGGGAGGAGCTGGCCTCAGCCTGGCGGGACTGTGGGGCGGCAGGGAGTGGCCTCTGCTCCCTGGATGGTGAACTGGACATTGAGCAAATCGAGAACAACTGACTGGCATGGCCCTGACAAGCACTGGGCCCAGAGGAGGCCGCCCCCCACCTCCCGTGAGCCCCCTATCCCTGTGCTGACCTGACCCCGTCACTGTGGAATGGATCAGTCTCTGGTCATGGACTCGGGTCCATGCAACTCCTGGAGCTGACGACAGCTTCTGGATCTTTCTCCCCCATCGTCTCGTAGGCCGTTGGGTGGGAGCACCCAGTGACCTGTGCTGGCCTTGGTGGCACTCCGGACCTGGCTCGGGGCTGGGGCTGTGTCCATCTCTGCTCAGGTTTCGTCGGGTGGGGGGCCGGCCATGGCTTCTCTTACTCCTTCCAGTCTGTGCCTTCTCTCCCTGGTGTCCCTGCTCCCTTCAGCTCCAGGCGGCTTGGAGACGTTTCCTCTATGGTGATACCAGAGCCATTTGGCCTTAACCGCAGGGTGGAAGGCAACGCCCATGAGGTAGCACGGGGCTGCCCGCCCAAGTGCTTGTTAGAGGTTGTCCACCTTGCGGAGTATGTTTGGTGTGTCTGTTTGCCTCTTGCCAGCTCCCTCTGGGCGGCATGTGGCCCTGGCGTACAGGGCGCGGTGGCCACCTGGGCAGGGCTGGTGGACATTAGCCATTCTCAGTGGCCAACCGGTTACTAGGCATTGCTCAGTGGATCCGGGGCACCCTCTAAAGAAGTCCTCAGGAGGCAGGTGTCCATCTCAGGGCTGAAGGGGGTCTATGGACAGGGGATGGGTCTCAGGTGAGGCGCCCCCACAGTATTCCAAGCACATTGTTCTCAGGTTTCATCAGGCATCTATCTATCTCCTGACCAGCCCCCTTTCTCACTGCACAGAGCAGTGTTTTCCTGAGTGCTGGCTGCCTGCTGTGCCCCCCCCCACCCGCAGCCCCCCAGGCCTCACAGCAGACCCCCTGCATGGCTGAAGTCTCCACAGCTGACAGCTAAATCTAGCTGTGCGGACACCAGACCTCTGGCTCCCTTGGCTTCTGCTCCCCTCTGCTGGTTGTGTGCCTCCATCTGCAGGACCCCCCCCCCCCTTTTCCTAAAGCCCCTGGGGGACCTGCTCACCTCTGCTGTGTTTACTCCATCAAACCAGCTGTGAGATGCAGAAACCTCCAGGCAGGGCCCAGGGTCATCCCAAGCTCACCTCCTGAGGCATGTCCATGAGGGTCCCTGGTCACCAAACCAGAGAGTATGTGGCTCTGTGGACAGAAGACATCTCCGTGGTCACCCACTGCCCTTAGAGCAGACCCTGAAGAGGTGGGCGGCGGAGGGTGGCCAGAGAGAACTTGCTGGGCCCAGAGACTGTGGTCCCAACAGCAGACTGTCCACATCTGTTTGTGTCCCCCCCATATTAGGAGGGAGGTGCCGCTGGGTGTGGTCACCACAGCCTTTCCTCAGGGTTGGGTGCAGGCAGTGACCCTAGATTGGTTCACCTGCTGCCCCTCCTTCCCTCCTCCTGGGTGTGGTGACAGGAGGGTTCACTGCCCCACTGCCCCCAGCCCACCACCCCGGGCCAGCTCCCCCAGCTCCAGGCTGCTCCCAGCAGAATACACAGTCCCCTTGGCTGTCCCCAACCACAGCAGTCAGGGGCGCAGGGCAGAGGGCTGGGTCCGGCTCAGAGACACGCAGGCCTGCACTTGCTTCATGTTTCTGGGGAGACCTATTTGGGAGGTGCTGCCACACAGCCCAGAGGGCCTGTCCACATGTGTGCTGTGGTGTCTCAGGACTGAGGCTTCTGTGGCCCCTACACTCTGTGCTTGTCCCCTAAGCAGGGGTCCCACTTTTGTCGGGGTCCCACCATCCACAGCTGGTGTCTGTGAGCTCCTGTCTTTAAGGGGTGAGGACAGCCTGGTGGACCCTCCACCTGCCACTGTGGTCCTGGAGGCTGAATGGGAAGAGGGGCTTCCTGCGCATAAAACCCCCACCTCACCCCCAAGGGCTGGGCCTGGCTGGCGCCAGGGCACCCACAGTGGACAGGCCTGAGGTCCTCTTGCTTTACCGTGGCCCCAAGTCCATGGGCTGCACTGACATCAGGGCCCACGAGGGCTCTGTGCTGACGACCACACCCCCAGATCTTCATTCCCAGAAAGCCTTACTTTTCAACAGTTTTTGTAGCAGGAACGTTTTGTGAATTTGTATGTGGAAAAAGAGTTAAATACAGGAAAAATCAACCTTAAAAAGAAAACACATCCCATTTCCAACCGCCTGGGGCAGGGCTGCCCCGTGTGCACAGGGTTGCCCCAGGTAGGGGAGTCCCACCTTTTGGTGTCGTCTCGCTGGCATGCTGGGAGACCCTGGTAAGGTGGCGTTCTGCTGCCCGAGGTCCCGTCCTTGCACTGACCTGCTCTAGTCTCAGGAATTTGCTTGTTACTTTATTTGCTCGTGACTTTTACTGTGTAAATAAAGCTTCCTGATTCTGCGCCCGACGCAGCGAGTGGCTGTGTGCTTTCTGACCAGGCAGCCAGCAGGCATCAGTGTTGCCGTCTGTGAAATGGGGACAGTAGACACGCCACAGACCTGGAGAAGCTCCCATACCAGATGGTGAATGAGCTCTAGCATCCATGTGGTGTTTGGTCAGGGGCCCCTCTAGAGGCCAGCAGGGGTGGGCAATGTGTGTGTCTGTGTGAGGGAAGAGCCAGGGGCCCCCAGATGGCAGAGGGGAGACCACCGGCCCTCTGCAGTTTCTGGGTCAGGAGCCAGCCTTAGCGAGGGCCTGAGGAAACGGGGTCACTGGCCACCAACCCATGAGGGTAGTACACTCTGGACATGGATGGACCGTCCAGCTCGGAGGCGCAGGGGCCTTCCATAACCACAGCCCCAGAAGACCGTGTCCTTTCGAGGTCCCCATGCATGCCTGTACCGGGTCATCACAGCCACTGGAACACCACAGACCACTTCCACAGCAAGGTCTAGGGGGAGTTCAGGGCAGCATTGTGGAAGGAACTAGAAGGGGTGTGGGAGGTGGGCTCAGAGGGGGATGCCATTCTCATCTCTGCCTCTCAGCCTTGCCTGAGTTGCTCTCTTTCTCTGCACCTCAGTTTTTCCTTCTGTAAAATGGGAAGAATGACACCTACCTTCCTGCCCTCTGAGGACTCTGCCCCCTGGGAGCTGTTTGAGCTGTTCTCTGACACCCCTCCCCCTCCCCAACTGGCCCAGGGGACCCACCAGGCTGCCTCCATCCCGTCTCCCTGGCCAGTGGTACCTGCGGCTAGGCCTGCCCACCAGGCTTGGCCTATAGCTGCTAAAGCTGCACCCTGCAGTGGGGGCCATGGGTCTCAGTGCTTGGGCCCGCCTCCACCTGGTGGCCTTCCTCAGCCCAGGACCATGACTTCAGTTACAGGAAGTCATCTCCCGCGACTACAGGAAGTCATCTCCCGTGACTTAGAGGTGTGATCAGATGACCTGTCTGATGCGCTGTGGTGGATCCTGAAACCGGACACTTGGGTTGGAAGTGAATTCGGATCAGAAGTTGGAGAAGGCTGCCCGCCAGCCAGGACGTAGCTGGCCCTGGTCTCAGTTTCCTCATCTGCTAGATGTAGAGGCTGGAGCTGGCTGTATCTCAGGGTTCTGAGGAGGAGGGCCTGAGGCCTTTCCCGGAAATCAAAGGCTGAGTGAGTTGGCTGGTGCTGGAAGGCGGAGTTTATTTAGTCTTGACTTTTCCTAGGCTCCAAAGTGTCCTTGGGTCCCAGGATGAGAGAGGTGGTGGGCCAGGACAATGGGTGGGAGGGCAGGGTGACACTGGTGGGGACTGGGGGTGGGGGCCACTGGGTGGAGGGCCAGGTCATTGGGCTGGGCGGGGTCACTGGGCAAAGGCCAATTAGGGGGAATTTTGAGTGAATTGATTTGGGCATGTAGAGCCCCAGGCTGAGCCAGCTCCGCCCAGAGGGCCCACCACCACTGCCTTCTCTTGGGGCAGCCATGGTGACAGCTCAGGACATGGAGGGAAGCAGGGCAGGGGTCGCTGGCAGGCGGGCCCACCGGGCTCTTAGGACTCCGTGTGCTTCAACAGCAGATCCACGGCCTGTGCCAAGTTGTCCACGTACCCGTCGGCCTTCACCTGCGGGTGGTGCTCATCGCTGGGCCTGGGGAGCAGGACAGATGTGGTTAGAGGGAGCCCAGGGAGACTCACCTCACCGAGTGGCGAAGCTGGCCAGTTAAGTTTAATCACAAAGCATTCCAACCTAAGAAAGACTCAAATCCACATGGAGTGGTGAGCAGAAATCTCAGGCTTTACGTTGTAACGAGGGGGTGCCACTGTGGAAGCTGTAGAGAGGGGACGGCTGAGTCCCAGTGACCTGTGACCCCAGGGGCAGGGATAGGGGAGTAGGAGGGAGAGGCTGACAGAGGGCAGAGGGTGAAAACAGAAAGCAGGGGGCTAGAGCTAATAGAGGGACAGACTCATATACGGGGACTTGGGGACGGGGCATATACACCAGTCGCCCTGGTGGACAGTGACATGGAGAAAGCCCCCTTTCCTGCATCCCACAGGCTCAGCTGCAGCTTGGTGGAGGCTGCCATGCATGGAAGCACAGAGCTGTGTGGCTTGGGAGGGTCTCTCCCACCTCTGAGGCCTGGGTTTCCCCACTAGTAAGGTGGGACGTGCCTGGCACTGGGTCACTCAGTGAGGTATGACTCAAGAGGCACTTGGGCCTCTGGTCCTGCCGCATGGACAGTACCCTGGCCATCAGGGGTTCCCTGTCCATCGCCACACTCACAGTCGTCACCAGCGAAGGAGAGCCAAGGACGAGGGGTACAAGGAATGCCCTCATTTAAAGTCAGGCTCCCCGATGCTTAGAAACCTGTGCTCTGGATGGTGGCTCTGAGATGAAGGCCAAGCTGACTCCAGAGTGTATTAGCCCCTTTCTGCTCCTGGACCTGCCCCCGCATCAGCCCCTCAATCCTGGGGAGGGTGTGTAGGCAGCAGGTGGCAAGATTGGAGGCATCTGCAGAGACCGCATTGCTCCCCTGCCCATCTGCTCAGGTCCACTTTGGGTGCACAGGTGAGGGTCCCTCCCCCTGTAGTCCACCTCACCCCTGTGGACCCCATTACACCTAGCTCCCAGCAGTGCAGACCACCCCCCACTGCCATGCCTGTACTGCAGAGTCTGGCCTGCTGCTCCTCAAATGCCCCCCACGCTTCCACACTGTGTGCCTGAAATGCTCTCCAGTCCTGGACCACGTCAAACTCCTCTGCATTCTTCAAGACCCCAGCAACTGTCCCTGTCTCAAGTCCACCCTCCTGGGCAAGTTTCTGAGCACAGCCCTTCCACGCTGCTGCAGCCCGGTGCCCCTTCGCTGCCCTGGGTTTCTGCAGGGGGTGGGGCAAGGCTGTTTTCTGTGGCCCCCAGACAGTGCCCGCTGAGGAAATGACCCCGGAGGCATCCCTGGCATTAGTTACTCGCCCCCTCACACCCTGGGAGTGGCAGGAGACAAGGCCCTCTGTGTGGCTCAGCTGGGGACCCTCACAGCGCGGTCTTTGTAGTGACTGAGGGATGTGGCGGCTAGACCCGCATAGCGACCTAGCAAGGCTGTATTCTCTCTCGTCTGAGGCACACGTGGAGACGGGCCAGCATCCCCTCAAGAACGCCAGGGGTCAGCAGGCTGTCCACTCCCCCACATGGAGGGGCTACGCATCACGGTCCACAATTGTTCTAGAAAGGCCAGCCTGGCCGCAAGGGCAGCTGGGAGAGCTGGTGTTGGTGGCTGACTGGCCCTGGCCATTGGCACAGGCAGTGCTCAAGGGTGAGCCCAGGTCTGGACAGTGCTGACGCAGTTGGAGGGAAGGACAGAGGGCATCCATTCATGGGCTGGAGGTTGTCCAGCGGGTGCAGGGTCACCCACTGGGGAGTGGTCTGGGCAGGCCATAACTCAGCCTGTGCCAAGGCTGGGTAGTCACCAGCAGTGGCTGGGAGGATGCCCGGTCTGCCCACGGGTCATTGTTTGATGAAGGCCTCTTCTATGCTTGGTCTGGGACCCCCTGCCATGGGCAGTGGCTCTGACACAGGCTTATAGGGTTCCTGCTGCCCACCAGCTGTCCACTGTCCAGAAAGCAGCTTGTTGGGGTCTAGTGGACAGACATGAGGCCCAGGGTGGGACAGCCATAGGCTGGTGACCCCACGTGGGGTGGCTAAAGTGGGGGAGTTGGTGACAGATCACAGGCTACTCTGACTGCTATGCCCAGGGCCTATGTGGAACCCCATTTGGAGATGGGTGGGAGCTGGGCAGGCCCAGGGAACCACCCAGGGGACTCTGGCCTGTCTGGTCCCTCTAGCAGGAAGACCCTCTAGCAGGGGATCAGGACAGCCAGCAATCCCAGGGCCCTCTGCCCTCCTATCTGATAGCCAGCTGGTCAGGGGTCCAGCCTCAGACCTTGGACCTTGTGCAGGGATTCGCTTGGCCCGAGATCCCATCCTGGTTTGACATGACGGCCAGGATGAGAATGGGAAGGGCTGGGCAGAGCCACGCTGCCCGCAGGGAGGATACTGGGCCTGTGGACAGGATTTCAGCCAGGTGGCACCTTGTCAATCCAAACCCAACGCGGTACCAGCTGTTTCCTGCATAGTTCTCATGGCCCCTCCACCCAGGTACAAGGGGAGGTGGAGACCAGAGGCCAGCATTGCTGAAAACAAGCCAAGGGGACACTCGGTCTCCTGCCAACATTGCTGACAGCTGATGCCCCACCCTGAGGCCACATAGGCAGTAAAGCATGGGTGCTCACATCCATGTGATGAGGTCAGGGCTGAAACCTAGCGGCCTCTCATCATGCCTGGCTGTGCTCTCTGCACCTGCCAGCAAAGGGGCTCCAGTACTGGTAGGCAGCCCTAGACAGAGTGGGTGCTTGGTCAGGTGTGGGCAGACAGACACGTGGGTGGATAGCCAGAACCAGAGGCTGTAAGTATGGAGAACCTCGAGGCCCCGGCCTGGTGGCTGGGTGTCGTCCTGCTCCAGAACCACAGAAATGTCCCCTGGTTGTGTTGGGTTCAGTGACAAATGGCCAGGTGTGGACTCTACTGTGAGACCCAGCCTCTGTCCCCCCAGCCTGGCCTGGTCCCTTCTCCAAGCCGACGGGGCTTCGTCATCACCTCAGAGCTCTCTATAGGGCCCTAGCTGTGCGGGGTCTTCACAGGAGGGGGCCACCTGCAGGTAGGGGGGTGCATGCTCACAGAGGTCTGGTGTCCTGCCCGGGGGCATGGGGTCAGTGCGAGGGCTCCATCTGCCTCCTCTAATGGGATGGAGGCACGAGCAGCCCTATCTGGGGCAGGGCCTGGCCAGCAGGCCGTTGGGGGGGGGGGGGGGAAGCCCCTAAGGGCATGTTGCATGAAGCTCGGGGTGGCACCAAGCTTCCAGGAAAGGAGCTCATAATATTTTGATAAAAACATGGTGAGCACCTGGCTGTGTGTAGATTAAAAAGTGCTGGCAAGCTGTTCTCCAACAGCCACTTCCCCTTAGAAGTCCCCACAGGGCACAGGGCAGGAGTCCTGACAGAAACACCGTCCACCCTGCTCTCTGATACTGTCCATGCAGGGGTGGACTAAGCTGTGACTAAGCCAGCTGCCCCCAGGTCCTTCCCTGCGCTCAGTGAGCCGGGCTCACTCCTGCCCACGTTCACTAGGCTGGGGCAGTTTAGACAGCGACAGTAAGCACCTACCTATAGGTGATCCTGGGCCATGAAGGCATTGCCTCCTGCTGTCCTGGGTAGAGGCACCCTTGTCCTCCCTGTATACAATGTGCCTGCCCAGGGCCAACCAGCTCCAGGGGCCTCTGCCTTGGTTTGTGTTGGGGAAAGGACACACCATGAAGCCAGGGGTCCATGCCCCACCACTGCCCATGAACTGCTTAGGGTCCTCACATGGAGTCCTCATTCCTAGAATGTGCAGCCAAGCTTCAAGACGGGCTCCCAGGGCTCATGCAGATTCTCTTTTACTCTGTGAACCACAAGGGTGAAAGCAGGTTCCTCACAACAAGGAGGTCAGTCCAGTGTGACCTAGCCCCACTCCCAAGCAGGTAGTCAAAATGATAACACTGACCATTGCGAGTGCTGACAACGATGTGGAGCAATGGGAAAGTCTACCCCCTGCTGCTGAGCACGCAGAATGCTGTGACATTCTGGGAAAGCACTTGGCAAGTATCCCCTGACATGAAACCATGCCTATCACATGACCCAGCAATTCCACTCCTGCTTATGTGGTCAAGAGAAGGGAGGGATGTGTTCACGGGAACGTTCCTGTGGGTTCTCTTCCTAACAACTTCACCCGAGAAACAACCCGGTGCCCATCAATGTAGAAAGGATCAAAAGTTGTGGTCTATGCTGGTGGCGAAATTATGAAAATTTCTTAGACATTACCAAACACCTTGAGGGAATGACTTGCTGGACCTGGGGACTCAAGACCGTAGTTTTGGAGGAAACCATGGTCAATTGGCCTAACATAGTCCACAAAGACAAGTTGGTAAGTAGTGACTGGGATCTTGAAAGCTCAGGCAATTATTGTTCTCTCCTTGTGCTGAGGAATGAAGAGTGATGAAAACTGAAAAGGCTGGGAAACAGTTAGTCCAGTGAACTGAAGGAGCAGGGACCATCCGTCTCCATGACGTCACAACCAGGAGAACTAGATGGTGCCCAGTTACCATGGCCAACTACTCTAAAGGGGATCACATTACAAGGTCTTGGGTAGAGTGGGAGAAAAATACGGAACGAAACTCCAAATCATAAAAAAGATCAGGCTTACTGGCCAGATGGAGACGGTGGAACCCCGAGACTATGGTCCTTTGTCACCCTTCAGACCTGGAACTGAACTCACCCCTCTGGCTCAATTCTCAGTCACACAGCAGATGCGTATATAGAGGGGGGTACTCTGGTAGCTCTGGTAGCGTAGTGGTTACGAATCGGGCTGTGAACCTCAAGGTCAGCAGTTCGAAACTACCAGCGGTTCCGCGGGAGAAAGATGAGGCGTTCTGCTCCCGTAAAGATTTACAGCCTCGGAAACCCTGTGCAGGGTCGCTATGAGTCGGAACCGACTCCACGGCACTCAACAACAACAACAACTCTGGTAGCGTAGTGGCTACAAATCGGGCTGCGAACCTT